CTCTTAAATGGCGGAGAGATTCGCTCTCCATCTTCTCCTTCCGAGTCCCCCACCTGTTAAAACTCCATTCTTGTACCAATTCCACCACCAGAACCCGACATTACAGCCCAGTTCACCACCTCCATCGGCTCCAGTCCTTCAAGACCTCCTCCACCGACATAACTCCAAGTCCCAACAACCCGTCGACCCACAAGTCCGGACGCGGACCCGTCTCGGCCGCTCACGTGACCTCAACCGTGGGAAGCGTTGGACTCACAACAACCTCTCTGGTCAAGGTCAGCAGATCCTTAACTCCTTGATTGACCCTTCTTTTGATTCCAATCAACTTGATGTTGTTTTAGCTAAGTTGTTCGAGCAATACCAAGAAAACCCAGATGCGGGGACGGATTTTTTGACTGCTGAAGTACTGGGAATTGTTAAAGCTTTGGGTTTTTACAAGAAATCTGACTTGGCTCTGGGTGTTTTTAATTGGGTTAAGGCTAGAAAGGACTGTGAGTTGGTCCTGAATAGTTCGGTTGTTGCTGTTATTATTAGTATGTTAGGGAAAGAGGGGAGGGTTTCTGTGGCTGCACAAAAAAGGGTTTAGTCTTGATGTGTATGCTTATACTTCTTTGATAACCGCATATGCCGGCAGCGGGAGGTATAGGGAAGCAATGGTGGTTTTCAAGAAAATGGAAGAAGAGGGCTGCAAACCTACTTTGATTACTTATAATGTGATTTTGAATGTGTATGGTAAAATGGGCATGCCTTGGAGTAAGGTCATAGCTCTTTTCGATGAGATGAAGAGTGATGGAGTTGCTCCCGATGCTTATACTTATAATACACTTATAAGTTGCTGTCGTCGAGGTTCTTTGCATGAGGAAGCGGCTTTGGTTTTCGATAAAATGAAATCGGCTGGTTTTAGGCCGGATAATATTACTTACAATGCATTGTTGGATGTTTATGGGAAGTCTCGGCGACCTAAGGAAGCTATGGAGGTTTTAAAAGAGATGGAGATTAATGGGCTTGCCCCTAGCATTGTGACTTATAATTCATTGATTTCTGCTTATGCTAGGGATGGTCTGTTGCGGGAATCAATGGACTTGAAGACACAGATGGAGGGAAAAGGGATCAAGCCTGATGTTTTACCTATACCACTCTTTTGTCAGGATTTGAGAAGGCCGGAAAAGATGAGTCTGCAATGGCGATTTTCGAGGAGATGAGAACTGCTGGCTGCAAGCCAAATATTTGTACTTTCAATGCTCTAATTAAGATGTACAGAAACCGTGGAAAGTTTACCGAGATGATGAAGATTTTCGACAAGATCAAGGCATGCAATGGTGCACCAGATATTGTTACTTGGAATACACTACTGGCAGTGTTTGGGCAAAATGCTATGGATTCAGAAGTGTCAGGAGTATTCAAGGAGATGAAGCGGGCAGGGTTTGTACCCGAAAGGGACACATTCAACACTTTAATCAGTGCGTACAGTCGATGTGGTTCTTTTGATCAAGCCATGGCTATTTGTAAGAGAATGCTGGAAGCTGGAGTTACCCCGGACCTTTCTACATATAATGATGTTTTGGCAGCATTGGCAAGGGAAGGGCTTTAGAAGCAAGCTGAGAAAATACTGGCTGAAATGAGAGATGGTCGTTGTAAACCCAATGAGCTAACTTATTGTTCTTTGCTTCATGTTTATGCCAATGGGAAGCAGGTAGATCGGATGCATGCCCTTGCAGAAGAGATATACTCTGGTATCATCGAACCTGTGCTCCTAAATACTCTTGTTTTGGTTAATAGTAAATGTGACCTTTTGGAGACGGAACGTGCTTTCTTGGAATTGAGGAAGAAAGGATTTCCACCCGACATAACTACTCTAAATGCCATGCTCTCAATTTATGGTAGGAGGCAGATGGTTTCCAAGACAAATGAGATCTTGAACTTCATGAATGAGAGCGGCTATAGTCCAAGCTTGACAACCTACAATAGTTTGATGTATATGTATAGCCGCGCTGAAAATTTTGAGGAATCAGAAAAAATTCTAAGGGAAGTTCTGGCAAAAGGAATAAAACCAGATATAATTTCCTATAACACTGTTATATATGCCTATTGTAGAAACGGTTGAATGAAAGAGGCTTCAAGGATATTTTCGGAAATGTGCGATTATGGCCTTGTCCCAGATGTGATCACTTATAATACCTTCGTTGCTAGTTATGCGTCTGATTCCATGTTTGAGGAGGCCATCGGTGTTGTCCGATTCATGATTAAGCATGGCTGTAAACCAAACCAGAATACATACAATTCCATAGTCGATGGATACTGTAAACTTAATCGTCCAGATGAGGCAAGGACGTTTATTAGCAGCCTTCAGAAGCTAGATCCCCATATTTCCAAGGACGAAGAAATTAGATTATCAGAGCGCATTGTGGAAAAGTGGTCATAGAAGGTTATCATCATTCGTCGTGTTCAATTTGAGCACGCAGAGAAAGCAAAGAGGTGGTCTCTTTGTGCATTATTCCGCGTGTTTCCTTGCGGCCGGCATGTGGCCTAGACCGGAATTTACCTATCCATGTTGCTGGCGTGGGGGAACTTTGTAGTATATAGCTGATGAAACAAGAGGAATGGGGGGAAGAGGGGAACCGAAAATCTTAAAAAAGGTATGTACAATTGCTTTTTTATACCCGTCAAAGAGAAATATGTGCAGTTAACACATTGTCTCTTCAAATGTGTTATATAAAGGAATGTTTGATAGGTTTTTTTTTTTTAATGCAATTAATTGTTCATGAGTACTCTTATCTTTGCATATTGGTTTTCCTGTTTTGATGTTTAGTCATAGCATATCCGAGTGTCGAACACCGATATACTTCACGAAAAATGAGAAGTACGAATAACGTAAGTATGAAATAGCATCAAGGCAGCAGGCTTAGAGGGGTCCACACCAAGCTCGTCCAGATGATAAAGTCCTCGTCACTTTTAAAGTCAAGCAATTTGGTCTGATGGTTTCATTCCAGTTCTGTTCCTGCTCGTCGAGGTGCGTTAACTCAGCGTCGGGCCAACAGCTAATCCTTATTAAACCCCCAAGAGAATGACATTTCTCATGTACTAGTATGAGGACCCAAGGCGTATGTAGGCAGGTCAAACATGCCAACTGGACAAACCAGTTGACCAAAAACTGCCAACTCAATATTCTATATTTACAGAAAGCATAAGAGGATTAGAAGGATGAGTTGGTAGATAAGGATGTTTCTCACGAGAAATTATTTTATGAATCCGGCTCACCACGTCATCCATGGTCCAAGTGGATGACAACCATAATTCTTTATATGTAGGAAAGATGTGAAGATTCACCTTAAAAAAAATGACATGGATAAATGTTATTGGTTAGGACTACGAATGATGTGGTGAGCTAAGATCATCAAATAATTTATCATTTATCAGTGAGCTCCGTTTTCCACGTCGGCATGATCATATGCCGATGAGGTTTCAAGCTGGCTAAGGCCTAATCTTTTAAGAATAGGTTGAAAAAAAGACCAATTCTGTGTCTCCATTAAATTATGTAAAGATTGTTGCATTCTTGATTCATCAATATCCCATATTCTATTTTCCTTCTGAATAAACAAGTGGATAAGGTCGGTTATTTTGTTTATAAATCCCCACGCGTCACTTTATCAAAGATGAATATAGAAACAAATTACAAAGCAGGCAGAGTTTCAGATACCAGATTTCAGCATTCTTACATAACTGCAAATCTAAAGCTTAAAGACAATACAATGTGTTGGTGGTGGGCAGGAGTTATCGGTGCTGCCAAGGTAAAATTCAATCAGATTCTTTTTTCTTCTTTTCTTTTCAGCTCATGATCAAATCTATTGCCTTATATTCAATCAACCCTTCTTCCATTTTGCAGAAAAGAACGGAAGAGCGTGATGAACCATCGATTCAAGAGTGTTGCGCTTGTAATCGGCATTACGGGCATTGTTGGCAACAGCCTCGCTGAGATTCTTTCTTTCTCTGATACTCCGGGCGGACCGTGGAAGGTCTATGACGACGCCCGTAGTCCCCGCCCTGATTGGGCTGATTTACCTGTTGATTACATGCAATGCAACATCTTAAATGAAAAAGAAACACGAGATAAACTATCGAAGCTCAATGATGTCACCCACATTTTTTATGTGGCGTCGAACAAGAAATCGAGTGAGGCTGAGAACTGCGTTGTCAACGGCACTATGTTACGCAACGTGTTGAAAGCTGTAATCCCGAATGTCCCGAAGTTGAAACATATATGCTTGCAAACCGGCCGTCGACATTATACCTGTCCGTCTGATTCATAAGGCAAGGTTCAGGTTCAGCCCCATGATCCTCCTTTTCGTGAGGGTCTTCCCAGACTCAAGTTGTTGAATTTCTGTTATACGCTTGAGGATGTTTTATTTGAAGAAGTTAAGGGAAAGGATTGATTGACATGGTCAGTTCATAGGCCGGGTCTGGTTTTCGGGTTTTCTCCATTTAGTTCGATGAATATAGTCCATAGCTTATGCGTTTATGCGGCGATATGTAAGAACGAAGGCAAGCCGTTGAGATTCCCAGGTAACCGTCCAGCGTGGGATGGGTATTGGGATGCATCCGATGCGGATTTGATTGCAGAACATCAGATACGGGCAACAATGAACCGACTCGCGAAGAACGAAGCCTTTAATTGCAGCAATGGAGATGTGTTCAAGTGGAAGGACTTGTGGAAAGTGTTGGCAAATCAGTTCGGTATTGAACATTACGAATTCCAAGAAACAGACGAGAAGCTGAGCCTGGCAGAGATGATGAAAGACAAGGGTCCGGTGTGAGACGAGATCGTGAGAGACAACAGTTTTGCCGACGAAATTGAACGACGCTGGAGCATGGCAGTTTGCTGATTCGGTGCTTTCCGGGAAGTCATTGTTGGATAGTATGAATAAGAGCAAAGAGCACGGTTTCGTCGGGTTTAGGAACTCGAAAACATCCTTCGATTCATGGATTAATAAGATGAGAACTCACAATATTTGTTCATTTTTTCCACCATTTTCTTCCATTACAAAGATTTTTAGAGTTCTGAAAGCAATACTGCTAGCTGTTCATCGGACACTTTAACTTCAACACAAGCTCCCAATGATCCAGCAAGCCTTGCAGCCAATTGATGCTTACACTATCCAACAACAAGACAAAAGAAAAATAATCAAAAAGAAGAACCTAGTAAATCCAAATAATGGAAAATATGTAAAAGAATCTTACACAAAGCTGTTCTCCTCTGTTAATTATATCATAAAAGAATGAATAACAAGCACAATAGTTTTCAGCAAAACATAAATACTCCTCCTTTCTTCTAGATTCTCCAACAACCTAGTCCAGCAAGGGACGAGGGAAAACAAACACCGTTTCAGAAAATTTTCCAGGAAAGTTGTCAAAATTATCCGGGAAAGTTTGCATATTTAAGAATGAACCTGAAAGATAGAACGATCACTGGGTTCACCAGAGATTTTCTTCACTCCCCTTTGATCCATTATCCTGATTGCTCTCTCAAAGTTTTTACCAAACAAGAAATGCAAGCTACAGTGGAAAGAAAAATTAATAAAAGAAAACCCAAAGAAGTTGAAGATTTAGGGGAAATGGGTATTGCTTACATTGATAGCTGCTCCTCGTTTACTGGCCAATTTGAGAATGAAATGCATCAGAAGATAGCTAAAGTTTGAGATTAAAATGAAAAGTTGAAGGAAAAAGCAGACCTGATTGAGTTGACTCAATTGTTTTCCACACGGATTCGGCAACCAAATGGCTTGCACTCATTGTTTTCTTGGGTCCGAGAAGATAAAACAGAAGCGGCAAAACATCCAACTTTGACGATGGTCATACGAACAGAAACCCTTTTTTGTGCGTGTAGATTTTTTATAAATCAAATCATAATTTATATGAAATAAATAAAATAAAATCTTATAATTTCTATAAAAATGAAATTGACAGAAAAAAGTTTTTTTTTTTTAAAAAAGTAGTTTGAATGAATATATTCTAAGAAAGCATAATACATTAAAACACTTCATTTTCTATTAAAAGATCATTTTAGTTTTTCTTAACATTTTAATTCTTAGGGTAAATTACACGCTTACTCAATAATTTTATCATCTCTCTATTTCTCATCATACTTTTAATTTTTCAATTTACTTACTGAACTTTATACATTGAATTTTTTAGTCACTCCGTCGTTAATTATCTAAAGACGTTATGGCGTGGATAAACTAAATTATTTTTTAACTATCAAATTCCAGATAAAAAAAATAATTAAATTAAATTAGTTTTTAAGCTTTTCTCTTTCCCCTATTCTTTTCTCCTCTAAACCCATTTCCTTCCCTTTCTCTCTCATTCAACCACCGAGCTTATTGATTGATTGTTGAAGAAATGCACTAATCAAAGTTCCTCAAATCTCTTCAAATCGTCGGTTGAAACTTTTGAGAAACTAAGATGGCGTCCACATTCAGCGGCAACGAAACTGCTTCTTTCTTTGGCTTCCTCGGAGCCGCTGCTGCCCTCGTGTTCTCCTATATGGGAGCAACGTACGGGACGACAAAAAGCGGTGTCGGAGTGGTGTCGATAGGGGTGATGGGGCCGGAGTTGATGCTGAAATCGATTGTCTCCGTCGTTATGGCTGGGTTTTAGGTATTTACGTGTTGATTATTGAGGTTATTATAAGCACCGGGATTAACCAAAAGGCCAAATCTTACTACCTATTCGATGGATATGTTCATCTTTCCTCTGGTCTAGCTAGTTGTCTCGCTGGTCTCTCTGTCGGCATGGCTATTGGAATCGTTGGCCATGCTGGTGTTGGGGCCAACGCCCAATAACCAAAGTTTTTTGTTGGAATGATTCTTATTCTCATTTTTGCAGAGGCTTTGGCTCTGTATGGACTCATTGTTGGCATCATCCTCTATTCTCGAGCCGGTCAATCTCGAGCAGAATAAAGTGCAAGGTTCTAAGACTAGGGTCGTTGTTAGTTGATGTCATTTGGTTGTCTCCTCTCCGGTTTCATTTCATGTTGCTAGCATGGATTGTGAAAACGTTTTCTAAGTTATCTTGAATCCATTAATGAATTTCTTCAAGTGGTGTTTGTATGATTGAGAATAAAGCAATTTGTTCACTGAAAAGTTCAGATTTCAAAATCCTGGAATAAGCTTCACTTCCTCATTCTTTAGCAGGCGACTCCTTATCCATCAACCCAAAGAGGTGTAACATCGAAGAAAATCTACACGGAATAAACCGATCGCTACATATAGATGATTTCAACGACGACGATGGTGAAGTCAAAATATCATCCTAGGCGAAGATATCGATATCGAGCGAAAGGAAGAAGAAGGTGATGCTGAAGTTTCGTTCATCCCGACAGGGAGGTTGAGGCCACTTTTTCTTCTCGGTGGAGTATCCATTTTTTTGTGTTTTTTTTAGGGATCTTTGCTTAACTTGAGTAGTCGAGTAGTGCGAGTCCCTGTCTCCTTTTTAATATCTTTGTAATGATTTTCATGACTTATACTTTATATATGTTTATGTCATTAGAATTTATGAAGGCTTAGAATTAGGGTAATGGAGTAGTATTGTTTTAGTTTAGGTTTTTAACCCATTAGACTTTATTCCTTCTCGTAGCTTGCTACCGTTGACTATTGTGTATCATTCTCTTCAGGTTTACTCTTTTTAAATTTAGTTGGGTCTTATGTTTCTGTTTATATGCAGATATTTTAATGCAGGGATTTATTTACAAGGATTACTTCCTATTATTGACGTGCATATGAGGACTGCATATAAAGATTGTTCAACTATGCATTTATTTATTTATTTATACATGCATTGCATTTTATCTTTATCTTTAATTTGCTGAATGCCGGAGGTGTTCCATGAAAACTGCTCTCAACCCTGACGTTAGGGACAGCCTACTACCCTACTTCCCCTTATCCCATTACACACGGGAATAAGATTTTGTTGTTGTTGTTGGTTTTGCTTAGCTTGAGAGCTTGTTAAAAATGGGTTTCTCTCAGTATTCGAAAATGGTAGATTCGTAACAAGAAAAATAAAGGCTCTCAAGGTTTTTCCTTCCAAAGGAGGAGCTGATGTTTCCTGTCATTTTTTTAGGTTGTGATAAAGCATGGGTTGGGGTTAGAGGAAAGTGGCTCTTTTAATATTAAATAATTCCACGTTATATAATTATTACTGAGTAAACGGTCTAGTGATAAAAAATTTAATGTCTAAAGTTCAGTAAGTAAATTGAAAAATTGAAAGTATGGTGAGTGAAATAGGAGAGAAAGTAAAATCCAGTGAGTAAGCGTGTAATTTACCCTAATTCTTAATGTTTCATTTTAAGATAGATTTTTTAGTCGATGAAAACTATTCATCAACTAATGATCGATACCTTGAGATGACATGATAAATCTGCGTACATGGTCTCTTTTTTTAAATATTTTAATTCTGAATTTTTTTTATGAAGAAAAGAACTTATTCGTAAATAAAAACTATTATTCAACTAACTATCGATGCCTTCAGATAACATAACAAATCTACATAGCATCACACGTTGATGTAATGATGCCATTTACATGATATAATGATAAGTCGTCTTATTCTACGCCAGCAAAAAAATTGATTATTCTTTATGATTATTATTATTTAATTAAATAATTGTGGTTATTCATATGATGCCTCAAATTATTGGTTTAAAATCAAGGAATTAACAAATCAAAGATAGAAAGCGCTGGGGGAATCGAACTTGTGTCCTGGGACAATAACCACAAGCCATCTCATAATTTCTGATTAAATGTCTAGTTATCACGTAACCAAAATCATACCTCCAAGCAAGGCTTGGTGTTAAACGGTGGAAAGGTTTGATGAGTTCCTTCACCAAACATTCATCGGCTGACTGAACCATAATGATAGGATTTACACCATCTTGATTAAATTTATGTTTTGCCGTTAATGGAAGCCGACGTCTATGCAACAGCAGAGCAAGATGTTCACTGTCGTCGTCTTGGGTCGGTTTGAGAAGGTACGCCGATGTTTTTAAACGACCTTTTGAGCCATCTTCGTCGATGACCCGACCGGAATAGCAAAAGGGAGCGGTGTTTCGTCACATGTCACAAAGGAACCAGTAGATAATAGGGATTTAAATAGCGGCCGGATAGCGGTACAACCGTCGCTATATCATTGTCACGAGTCACGATGACATTCAAGTTTACTATCGCGGAAATATTGGTTTGAAACAGAATCACCCAATAATAAGATCGCGGTGTGCAACCGACTGATTCGATTTCCCAACAATCTTTTCTTTGATTTGTTCATTCATTGGTTTTAAACCAATAATATGATGCCACGTCGCATATATTGAATGATCGCAATTATTAATTAAATACTAATAATCATTAAAAACAATTAATTTTCTACTAACAGGCATAGGTGACATGTATTATGCCACGTCAGTTTATATACAAGTGGCACTGTCACATCAGCATATGATGCTATGTAATTAATTAACGATTTTCAATCCATGGTAGGAATCTTTATCCCAAAATAAACGTTAGTGACAAAATGTTTAAAAAAAAAGAATAAAGACTAAACAATCATTTAGTTAAATAGTAAAGATATTAATGTATTATGTCTATATTCTATTATAATTTTTTATTTATTAAAAACCAGATACATAATATTACAAATTATTAAATAGTTGTTAAAGCAAGTTTTTTTATATCGAAAATAAAATTAAATCGTTCGGTTTAAAGTAGATATAACTTTTGTCGATACAATGATGCGTACAAATGATATCTTTAGGCGTTGAATTTAAAGATACACTTAATTTTCTCAATAACTTTACACATTAAACTTTTCTTGTCATTGCGGCTAGCCAATTGTCGCTTGTTGTCGGTTGTTATTTACAACAAATTTGATATCGAAATTCACTCAAAATCAATGAAAATTTATCTAAAAGTTAGATGTGCTAATACTCTTATACTCTTATAACAAAAGTTAAAAATCAAAATTTAATGTCATAATAAAATAATTGAAAGTCTGATTACAAAAAACGATACATCGTCTAAAGTTAAACATAGAATCAACCAATTGCGGCCTTATCAGTTTGGTTGGTTAGTTTGACTAACAAGTTAGGTTAAATGGCTAATGGTAGTTGCCAAAATTCCCATGTCGTCCAGTTTAAGGAAGCTGTCTCACAAATTTTATTCCAACATCCTTCTGTTTTGATTTGACACCAATCTCAACCTTTCTTTGTAATTTTGAAAATTGATTAATTAGCTCAATTATTGGTAAATATAATTTAATTGTTGTATATAAATGCTAATTTTCTATTACTTTGTATATATGCTGTCAATTTAATAATTCTCGTCATAATGATTTAACACTAAAGTTCAACGATATTACCAAATTAAATTAATTTCTCAATTTTCATAAATATGTGGACCAAATCCTAAAAAATTAACATAGAGAGATTGACTTCTCAATTTTCATAAGATATGGGGATGAAATTCCTAATTAGACCAGAGACAAACTTTACACTAGAAAGTAATGGGTTTAAAGCGAGATGTAATATAAACAATGACCATTATGGGATTCAAATAATAAAACAATGTTGTTTTGTTTGCCTTTCATTTCTGTGGGATGCATTCATATCAGCTTAAAGAAGATTAAACGTCGAGAATCAACGGATAAGATTAAACGATGATCGGAGCCGGTAGAACTTCCCTCGGAAACCCGTATAGTCGTCGGCTTCTGTCGGATTCCTCCTATAGGCCCAGCACTTAAGTGACCAATCCCACCTATTCATTTGATGATGACCAAACTT